TACCTACACTAGTTAATCACTAGAATAAATAAAAAAATATAAAAAAATAAAGTAAAATAAAATAAAATCCTTTTTTAAAATGTAAACATTTTGGACCATTTGATACTGAAAAATAAAATATAATCAATAAATAATAATCAATTGAAATTGATCAGCAACATTTTAACTCAGGAGTGTTATACAAAACACTTTGACCTACAAAACAAAAATGAATAAAACAATTTATGCTGATTTTTTAAAATCAAAATTAGGAAGTCAGTATCAATGAGCACACTCATCGATAAAACGACAAAACATTGTCAACGTGAAAGAAGAAAGGGGGGCAGGTAACCCTCTCGCTTTGAGTTTACTCTTTGTCACCTGCATGCTGTGGGTGACAAACGTCCAGAGCATCAAAAAACAGCAGCTTAACTGAGGAGGTGAATATATTTTGTTAGCAAAGAATAGAGTCCTAACATTTATTAAACATTACTTCTGTAAATTGTGCTTGGACAAACTCATTGATAAAACTAAAGCATTTTGTCAACGTAAAAGAGGAAAGAGGGGGCAGGTGTCCATCTCGCTTTAGTTTACTCTTTGTTGCATGCGCGCTGTGAGGGACGTCCAGAGCACGTGGACATAAAAACAGCAGCGGAGGACGGAGTTTATTTATCGTGTCAGCAGCAGCAGGAAGAGACACTGTTCATGCACGCATGGCTCCCAAAACGACAAGGCAGCCACATTTGTTCATAACTTTATTACTAGGAACACACGCGACATAATGAGAATGGTGAAAAAAAGAAAAAAAAAACTACTCCCTGCGGCAAAAAAAGTCTGTTTTCTAGGGTCACATGCGCCCCCCTTGGCATCGCCCCGGCCCCCCCCAGGGGGGCGCACCCCACTATTTGAGAAGGACTGGTTCATGCCATGAACTTAGCAGATGTTTAAAGCCATTTAAAATTTTATTTTATTTTATTTATTTATTCATTCGTTTAAAAGAAACAAAATAAAACAAATTCATCAAAAAGAAAACATTGAATGAAAAGAGTGCAGACAGAAGAAAAAAATTATTATATCTGCCCCTTATTTAAAAAAATAAAAAAAAAACTTCATGTAAATTAATCACTTTAATATCCACTTTAAAGCTCAGAGAAAAAAACCCAGCATGTTTTGTGTTAGCAAAATTTAATTCTAACTTTAAAACTATCCAACATTAATAAAACTTACCTCAAGTTGCCTTTTTGGACATGCATGCATATATTTGTACACATTGTACTTGAGAGGAGATTATTACAGCATCATATAAAATCAATATTGATGATGATATCAGAACTGGATCAGTATTGACCGATATCCAGATTTAGGTATTGAGATCGGATTGGAAGTAAAAAAATGTGGATTGGTGCATCCCTAATAGTTTAACTAGTCTTGGTCCTGGAAGTGCATTCAATTTGCTTGGTCAACCAATGTATGTTGAGCTTTGAACCAACATTATTTTAAATACTGGTAATCCCGAACAGGGAACTTGTTACGCTATATGGAAATGCACATAGTTTTGTTTTTTATTGCTTATTTGTCATATGCAGGTCAACACAAGGTCCAACCGTGCAATGAAATGAACAGGACGAGAAGAACCGTCTCGACTTGCCAAACAAAATAAAAAAATATATAACAAAAGAAATACCAAAACATGCAACAAAAGTACAAAACAAAGCAGCCAAAGTGAAATAGAAATACAACATCTAGAAGGTCCAAAAGAATTACTGTAAACAGCATGGGACGGCGCAAGTAGGACGAATCAGTACAAACAAGTACATGTACCTCACAGGCAGTAACACTGCTTAAACGCACACGATACATGTTGCACGCAACATACACCACACAGGTTGCGTGACAGGCCACTGCACAGGCAGTGAGCAACATTGAGATGAACTGAACACGATGGCAAGGCTGATACATGATACAGCCACATCGTGCAGCAGCAATAAACATATTAGGTGTCATAGATGTGACTCAGTTCTGTCGAGCCGATAGAGAAGTCGTCCGAAGCCACAGCACAGTTGGAGATGGAAGTCTCCAGTCATGTTTCTGCAAAAGCACAACACAACAGCTCCCCATGTCCCACTTGCAATAAAACCATGTGCACAGATCATCCAGTCCACTCCACAGAGGCCGAATGCCCAAGAGTGGGTTTGCTGCATTTTTGACAGGTCCTGCACACAACAGTGGCTCGCTTTCCTCTCCGTGTTTTCCTCTTACGGTGCCCAGGTAAACAAAGGACAATGGGGAAAATGTTCACTGCGGAGTCCCCAAAAGTTGGCCCAAAGTCCCCACTCACTGACGATACCAACTCCAAAAGTGTGTCACGGTCATACTCGTAGCGTGCGAGTACAGTGCAGGTGCAAAATGTCAAAACAAAAAGAACAAAGTGCAAAAAAATTGTGAGTTGAAGTGGAGCTCTCATAAGTGCTGCCATGCTGCAGCGCACATTGATGACATCAGATAGATGGAGGCAACTGGAGGGTTAAAAGCCTTATCACTGCCCGATCTGTTATGGAAGCACAATCCGTAGTGTAGCTCATTTGCACATGCGCTAAAAGGAATACTTCTGGGTCACACGAATCGCCGTTGAATATGCTAGATGAAGGAAAATGTGCTGGAAATAATTACTTGATATTAATAAAATGTATGAAACATACCATCCATCCATCCATTATCTTTTACCCGCTTCTTCCATTTTGGGTCACGGGGGTCGCATCGTGTCCAGCAATCCCTGTGCGAGGGGCGGGGTACACCCTGGGTGGGTCACAAGTCCATCACAGGGACACAATGAGACAAACAACCATTCACTCTCTCACTCACACCTAGGGACAATTTAGAGTTACCAATCAGCCTAACATGCATGTTTTTTGTCTGTGGGAAGAAAACAGAGTACCCGGAGAAAACCCACACATGCACGGAGAGAACATGCAAACTCCACTCAGAAAGGAACCCAGACCGGGATTTGAACCAGGGACCTGCTCGCTGAGAGGTAGCAGCTCTACCAGTTGCGCCACCATGCTGTCTGAAACATACCATATTTATTCATATTAATTAAAATATCTCTTTCTATAAATTGATAATTTTTTCTAGACAATGTTATAATTCTGTTTATGAATAAGAACTGTCTTAATTTACTTGGAGTATGTGCTCTATCTCCGCTGATCTTCATGTTGCCAACTTACGACACTCGTATTTCCATTGATATCACTGACGTATTTACGTCATGGTTAAAATGATATGCAGCTTCACCACTGAGTGGCGCTGTTTAACCATGGAAATAATTCATTCTGTATATTGCAGGGTTTTTCATTCAGCCCAGGCTGGGGCTCAGGTCTAATGCATCGCATATCATCTTAACCAACGACGTAAATATGTCACTGATTTTAATGGAAATATGAGTGGCATAAATAAGCTACATGAAGATATGCGGAGATAGAGCCCATACTTTTCTTAGTAAATTAAGACAGTTCTCATTCATAAACAACGGTGATCCCTGCGACCCGGAAGTATTCTTTTAGCGCAAATGAGCTGACACTATGGATCGTACTTCTGTAACAGATCGGGCAGTGACTGGCCTTGCTCAAGTCTTGTAGGGTAAACGAGGGAGGAGACAGATGTGAGTGCTTCACCTTTTCCACCCAAATGTTTTGTGCTGTTCACCTTCCCTAACCTTTGTGCTACCCCCCCCCCCCCCCCCCCCCACTACACTGATTATATCCATTTAGGCAATTTTAAAGGATTATGAAAAAAAAAGACAACAGTACTGTCAGCGTAAAAAAATAAATAAACTGCTGTAAGTTTAGTCTAACCCTGGTCCCCTGATTTTTGAATGAACATAAAAAGTATTTCAGATCAGAGAACTAAACTAACAATTAGTTTAGGGCCAAGACTATCGTGGATTGCTACCATCTTAAAGAACTCCATAAAATTCCACAGTGGTTCATTCACTGTACAATTTTATATAAAGTCTATAGGTATTTTCACTGGTTACTGTGTTGGTCTGCCATCTGTTCCCAGTTGTAGGCTCTGTGAAACACAAAAAGTAGAAGGCGGTGGGGCTATATGACCTTACTCTTTCTGCAAAGCAAGTTTTACATGGAGTATAGCCAATGGACTGCAGACCAACATATTCATCAGTGTAAATAACCAGAACATTCAATGACAACAACAGTCCAGTGCAAAACTGATACTGTATATAAGAAAAATATAAAATATAATTTTTATGAACACTTTTGGTTCTGCTGGAGGTTTCTTCCTGTTGGGTGGGAGTTTTTTCTTCCCACTGTTGCCTTTGTGCTTGCTCAGGATGGAGACAGAGGCAAAATGAAGACTCAACACAACCTGCTGGCTTCCTTAGATAAATAAAGTTATTGACTTTTCTATATATGTTTTATCTTTCTGTACAGTGCCCTGAGATAACTTCTGTTGTGATTTGGTGCTGTATACATAAACTGAATTGAAATCAATTTTAAAATATTTGAGATTGAAATAATTTTAAGTTGGCACTTGGACAAGATCCCATTCTGACTAGTTCCTAGCTCAAGTCTCTGATCCATACTAATCAATGTTTCACCAAACTGAAACAGTCCAGAAAGCTATCTACTGTAAGCAAAATACGTACTGCTTATAAACTCTCCCTAAAACCTCATGGTAAAAATTACCAACCAAGTATGTTAAACAAAACCAGAATGCTTGCACTTGTAAATATCGTATGACTTGAATATACATATATACTTTTTTATAACCACACCTTTAGCTTCCTTTTATCGTCATGTCTCTGGGTCAAATGATGAAGTCACAGCCTTGTTGGGTGGAGTCAAGCTTGAGATGGTCTGTGGTGACATCACTAAAGCAGGAACAGATGTTATCGTCAACACCACTGGCTTTTTAAACCAACACTCTGGTATGATCTGAATGATTATATTTTGAAAGATTTAGTTTTTAAATAAAGGCATCACTGTGATCATTGCTGTTATAAACTCAACAGGTGTCTCCAAAGCCATTCTGACTGCAGCAGGCTCGTCTGTCCAAGCAGAATTAGCCAAAGGTAAACATTCAGAACAAAACTACCAAGTAAATAATATTTTAAGATGTTTGAGACTAATGTATCTTTGCTGTAGATGTCCTTCTTTGAAAACTGAAGTTTGATTTAAAACAATAAAAGGCTATTAATAATAATTTTATTGACGTTAATGTCATCTAAAACCATTTGTACGAACAATCGGTTTTTGTATTTGTTTTCAGCGGGCGTTCCTGCTGATTTGATGTGCACCACAGGACCTGGGCTGCTTGGCTGTAAGGAAATAATTCACGCTGACTTTAAAGGTGACTTACAGCTTACCCGCAAAACCTGCAAAAAAATACTGTTGCAGTGTGAGAGCAAAGGATTCAGCTCTGTGGCCTTCCCAGCAATTAATACAGGTTGGTAATTCATCGTGTCTGTGTGCCTGTCATAAGTAGCTGGAAAATAAAAAGCTGTAGTTGGTTTATTGCCCCCTGCATGAAAAAAGGGTAATTGATTGTGTGTACATGTATTTGTCTGTTAGCAAAATATATCATGACTCTTAAAGAAATTTGTTGAAACTTACAGAAAGTATTCAGTAGAAGTATTGTATATTTTTTTCCTTCAACTTTTTCTTTTATACAGGCTAGTCTCACTGAGCCACTACGACTCATTTAAAAGAGGGGCCTGTTCCAGACAGAACATATAAAGTACAGACAACAAATAACAATAAATTACAGTAAAAATGCAGTTAAAATAAGAGTAGTGTTATAAAACAATAAATCGGGGTGTCGTCAAACAAGGTGAAATACTAAAAACAAGAACATTTATAGATTTACATTTATAATGTAAATTATAAATGTCATAAAATTATACTTTTGAATTTGCAAATCATTAAAGTTTGGACTCAACACATTTTAGGATAGCTACCTCTGCTACTGTAATTTCCAGACTATAGATTGCAGCTGAATATAAGCTGCGCACACTAAATAATAATAAAAACGATACATAGCCTATAAGCAGCACTTGTGTATAAACTGCAAGTATTCACATTGTAACATGAGTGGCATCACACAGTAATATGTGCAGCTTTTGTTGTAAAACAAGAATCAACCACCAGATGGCATGTTGTAGACTATTTTATTGTTCAACACACTCAGCAGAGTTGCCCGGTGAGAAATGTAGGATTGTTGTACTAGAGACATAAAATTATCATATTTTGAGGGAAATTATTGTCATAACCAAAATAACAAATCTATTAATGCACTATAGTAGTGATGGGTCCGCTTCCAGACCGGCTTTGCTTCTTCTTCTTTTCTTGCTGATGACAACCGATTACAACCACACATTCACGGAATGGTCACATTATCGTATATTTGGCCTTTTTTGGGATTATTGATCGTACATCATACAGAGAGCAAAATTGTCGTACAAATACAATAATTATCGTACACCTGGCAACACTGTCACTCAGACAAAGTGAACCCTGCAGGTCTTCATGACAACCTCCCACTCATGGTTACTCTACTGAATGGTCTAACACAAACTAACACATAATGAACATAAACTAGGCTAACAGGTACAGACTAATCACTAAAAGAACAATGCTAAACAGCTAACTGAAATGATTAACAGTGAACATCAATTTTACCCATAATTCCTCCCTGCAGCCATGTGGCTCACAGTCAACGACAATGAACCACAGAATGGTACAGTACATACCTGTAACATACACAAATACATACAGTAAATGCTTTTTTTTTTCTGATCAGTGCCTGTAACACGGCTGGTAAAATAAATAAACAAATAAATAAATAAATAAATAAAGTAGCCTACCAGGAAGTCGTTGATGCTATCTTCATACTCCTCCTGCACAAGCTGTCCTCCTGCTCCGTGGAGTAGAGTTGCATTCCAGCCCCAAAAAAATCCGACCCGGTCCCAGCCCACAGTCATCATTTCCAAACTCCACCCGACCCGACGAATTAACAGTAATTACAAGTCCAAACCCGGAAAAAACCCTGACATTTTAAATTTTTTATTAACAGTTGGGGACGTGCGGCTGAATTAAGGGGCAGAAGATCATAGCTGAGGGGGTGTTTGTCCTTTCATGGCCATAAAAGAGCATTTAATCTCTGCTTCTGCCTGCACTCTGCATTATTCAGACACAGACCCTGCTTTGACACGTCTGCTTTGAGATCTCACCTGTTTGGGTCGTCAGCCACGCGGGTCCGCTGAGTGCAGCGGCTGCATGAACGTCCATTTGGGCTTTGATGGATCGCTTCCTGGCAGTACAGTCCCATCTGAAGCTTAACTGAACTTTTTACCTCTTTCAAGGCCAATCAGCTCACGGTGAAATGTCCAGGCATGGCAGGCCATGTTATCATATAATTGGATCGCAGCTGATCCTGACCCAATTAAAAGCTCGGCACCGACCCAGCCTGTCTATCCAGCACACTGTCATGGCCCACCCCGCCCCAAATTCGGGTGGGGTGGGGCCGGGCCGGGCCGGGCTTAGGGCTCAGGTTAGAAATGACAGCTCTACTGTCATGGTCATTTTTTTTTTACTTTGTCATACAACGCAGCAGGCAACATGAATTAATGAATGCATGTTTCATAAAAAATGTGTTTAAAAATTGTTCACTTTGTAATCATAAGGAAATGTAAACATTTAATTAGGAGAAAATATATAACAAAAATTCAAAATTGGAATTATTTGCCTTTAAGTCACAAAGTCAAATCCAATGAGTAGATAAAATCCAACATATCATTGCAACCAAATAAAAAGACACACACCAACATGTGGATTTTCAACTGTTTTTCCAGGACAGGCAGGTGTAAGAAATGATGAAGCTTGCAAAGCCATGCTGGATGGCATGGTTTCAGCAATCACAGAATCGAAGCCAAAGTCTCTTTCACTCATCCGCATTGTCATCCTGCAGCAACCAGTCTTTCAAGCTTTCAGGTAGGACGTTGGCCTTCAGGCAATCACACTGCATTGTTCTCTAAACCACTCAGGCTTTTTAAACTCTTGAAATATTCTCACAGATCTGAACTGGAGGTCCGATTTGGACAGATTGTTCAGCGTGGCCTTAAAGGTTTGTTGTTGTTTTTTTGGTCCAACATTTTCTTTAGTGTACAATATAAAAATGGCATATTTGAGCCTTTAGGCACGTAGACACTGTGAAGACAGCTGGCTAAAGTTCAAATCAAGTCTCGGAAGAGGGATGAAAAGTGATTTCAGTTACTTTGAACAGGGAATAATTGTTTTTCAGATGGGATGGACTTGAGCTTTTAGGAAACTTGTGATCCATTGAAATGTTCATGGAAAAACCAACTCAAGAGTTTGCAAAGAACGAGGTAAAAAATAAAAATAAAATAAAAGACATAGTTGTTTAGACCAAAATGTCCTGTTGATGTTGGATGTTAAAGGAGAATGTGCAGACTGGCTGGAGATGATAAAAAGGCACCACCAAATACTGTTGCAGACATTACTTGTTCCGACCAAGGTCTGCAGAAAGCCATCTTTGAATACACAACACATCCAGCCTTGTAGTAAATGGGCTACAGCAGCAGAAGGTGCCACTCTTAGCTGCTGAGAGTAGGAAACTGAGGCTCACCGAAACTAGATAGTCCGGGTTTGAAAAAAAATAGTCTTTTTTGGAGAGTTTCTGCAAACCCTAGAGATGGTTGTACATGAAAATCCCAGTAAGTTCAGAAATACTCAGACCAGCTCGTCTGGGACAACCAACCATGTCATGTTTAAAATCACTTAAATCTCCTTTCTTCCACATTCTGATACTTGGTTTGAACTTCAGCAAGTTGTCCTCACCACCTCTGCATTGAGTTTCTGCTATGAGACCCCCCCCCCCCCCCCCCCACCACCACCACCTCCCAGAGACAAATTTATCTTGAGCCTAAAATCTGGGGAAGGGTACAGAATCTTTTTTTCGTCTTTGAAATTACCACTGAGCACAGCGGCCTCCATCATCCAAAAACAGAAGTTTAGAACCACTAGGACTCTTTGTTTTTATAGAGCTGGCAGGTTAAACTGAGCGATCAAGGGTCAAGGGCCTTGGTCAGGGAGGTAACCAAGAACGCAATGGTCATTCTATCAGAGCTCCAGCCTTTCTCTGTTGAGAGAGGAGAACCTTCCAGAAGGACACCCAACTTTGCAACAATCCACCAATAAGACCTGTATGGTAGAGTAGCCAGACGAAAGCCACTCCTTAATAAAAGGCTCACGGGCAGCCCATCTGGTGGACTCTCAGACCATGAGAAAAATTCTTTGGTCTGATGAGACAAAGATTAAACTCTATGCTGTGAATGCCAGACATCATGTTCAGAGGAAACAAGGCACCGCTCATTACCAGGCCGATATCATTTCTACGGTGAAGCATGGTGGTGACAGCATCAAGCTATGGGGATGTTTTGTAGTGGAAGGAACTAGGAGACTAGTCAAGATAGATGGAAAGATGACTGCAGCAATCTACAGAGACATCCTGGATGAAAACCTGCTTTAAAACGATCTTGACCTCAGTCTGGAGCAACGGCTCAACTTTCAGCAGGACAATAACCCAAAGCACATGGCCAGGATCTCAAAGGAGTGGCTTCAGGTCCTGGAGGGGCAAAGCCAGAGTCCAGACTTGAATCTGATTGAACATCTCTGGAAATATCTGAAAATTGCTCGAGAGTTGCCACAAGGCGGTGTGGACAAATTACCCAAGATTGACGTACCTAGTTTGTGGCATCATATTCAAGAAGATGAGATTGTAATGGAAAGTGTGCCTATTTTGACAGCTATTATAGCTTTAACTAGCGATAAAAAATTATGATGTTTGGTTTTAGAGGAGTAATCCTCCATCATTAAAGTCAAAGGTGCTATATTTAAGTGACCATTTGCTGCTTGTATTTCTTTCTGTTCTAGAAAATGCTCTGCTAAAGCTCAAGAATCTGCGAGATAAGTGTTCAAGTAGGTTTTCTACAGCTTTCGCATCTCAAGGCCAGTCCTTCATCTCCTCAAAGCCCCAGCCAGCAGTGTTACGAGTAATTAGCTGTGGTCAAGACATCAATAAGTCCATCAAAACTGATTTAGAAGGGTTATTGAAGAAGGAGCTGTTAGAGCGATCTGTAAATATGGATGAATTTTCCAAGCTAAACGAAATGGAGATGAGTGCTGTGCTGGCAAAAGTCAAACTTGCTGGAATAAGCATGGAGCATAAAAAGCATCAAAGCTCTGAAGCAGTGAATAGATCAGGGAGAAGGGCTCACTCTGGGTCAGGTAAAGACGTGTATGTGCTGAAAGGCTTAACAGAAGATGTTTTGAGTGTCATTGAACTGATAAGCAAAGCAGTTCACAAAGCACTTGAAGAAGACCTCAGAGATAAGGAGGAGGCGATGATGGCACTTACTGTTGAGTGGGCGATGAAGGATGACAGTGGAGAATGGCAAGAGCTGAGTCTGCATCATAACTACATACTGGAAAATGCCTACCAGACAAAACAAGTGTTTGTGGATTTAGAGACACCAGGTGCCACAGTGATGAAAGTAAATTTGAGGACACTGGAAGCCACAGAGTGGTCGACTGGCAAAACGTACAAACTGAAAAGGAATGAGTCAAAAAAAGGTAGATAACATTCTGCTGTTTCTCTTTTTCCTTTTAAATAGTCTTTAGTTTTTTTTCCAAGTATGCATCCAGTAAAAATTATGACATCATTTTGTTTGACATTTGCTTTAGATTTGGAGTTGCCACAACACTGGGAGCCTATGAACGGAGAATACTTTAAAAAGGTAGAGCTCCAGCGTAACTCATCAGAGTACAAGAGAGTTTCCGATGAGTTCCTCAAAACAGCTAAATACAAAATTCTCAAAGTAAGAATGCTTACGCAACAACATCATCATTTGAGTACACACTGTAAAAGTTTCATTTTGAATAAAACTTTTTTTGTTGGTTTAGATTGAGCGCATCCAGAACTTCTACCTTTGGCAAGCCTTTAGTGTGTGTCGCCAACGTATAGCTGCCAAGAATGGTTTAGCAGAACTTGGTGAAAAGTTTCTTTATCATGGCACATCAGCAGAGTCATGCAACTGTATCGAAAAAGACAGATTTGACAGGAGTTATTCTGGAACGCATGGTAAGTCGAAGTTTATATTCCTTAGTAAAAAGTTTCAAAGTAAGTAGCTTTAAAAAATAGTTTTATTTTCCCATTTTTATCTATTACAGCTGCCGTATATGGAAAAGGAGTGTACTTTGCAGTCAATGCAAATTACTCAGCTGATAGGTTTTCCCCAGCTGATACATCAGGCCTGAAACGACTGTATGTTGCTCGTGTCCTAACGGGTCGTTACACAGTCGGTAAATCCTCCATGATAGCCCCCCCTCCACGAGGTTCAGACCCCACAGACTGCTTCAACAGTTTGGTGGACAACGCGCAGAATCCCTCTATGTTTGTTATCTTTCATGATGACCAGGCGTACCCAGAATACCTCATCACCTTCAGTTGAGTGAAGAAAAAGGAAGGTTATTCTGTTCTCTGGGTTCACAAGGTTATTCACGTAAAACATACTTTGATGCATATTTGTATTTTTAACTAGTACTTTAAATTATTGTCGCTTGTGAAAAAGGGAAGGAGGGAGATGGAGGAGGATGACTCGCTATGGCAACCCCCGAAGAGGGAAAAGCTGAAAGAAGAAGACCTTAAATTATTGTCACAGTTTGATTTCTTTTAAACCTTGTAATGTTCTGTTTTATTAGAATTTTAAGTCTAGATCTTAAACATAGGGGTGTATTTTCAGTCCAAACTGCCAATTCAAATATACCGTGATCTTTTGTACATTTGCAAACAAGAAGTGCAATCTGCTGCTATTTTTATTCATAGCACTTAAAGCAAATAAATTAGGCTGAGTCGTTTTCACTTAATAGTGTGATAATTTATCATGGGACAGGAGACCCATTGGTGCAGGCAGACAGGCAGGACTCTGGGAATATAAATAAATAATTTATTATTTACAAAATAAGGATGGCTGACGGGGCAGCAGACTTACATACATCATGGGACAGGACGCAGGACACGAGGAGCAGAACAGGCATCACAGGGACACAATGACCAGATCATGAGGGACGCAGGCAAACAGAATTAAATACACACACTAACGAGACTAACACAGAACACCTGTGAAACATCAGAGGGGGAGCAGACAAGTATAAAACACTAGAGGGAGACAGAGACCAGGGAAAGTACAACTCCTACAAATGGATTTCATTCATATATTTTCAGACCCAGTTTATAACAAAAAGCAATTGAGACTCATCAAGTTTCCTGCTGTTTTTGTATAAAATGGCCATAATGACTGTTCAAGTGCCTATCACAATTTAACCTATCGTTCCTGTACTGCTAATTAATTTAGATTATTATTTGGAAGCACAGTCAAAGTGGAATCCTTAAAATGTTTGAATATCAGAATTATCAGATTCATTTGGGGAGTGGTGGCGCAGAGGTTAGAGAAGGTGGGCCCATACCGGTTCAAGCCCCAGTACCGACAACATCAAAAATGTGGGTGAGGTAGATGAAGCACCCACACCTGCCCCCACCCTCATTCGCCCTGTCTGGAGCCCCACTCTGGGCCCCTGAGCAAGGCTCTTAACCCCCATCTGCTCCCTAAACAGGTCTCTCTTGAAAATGAGTTCTCGTGGCTCAATGAGACTACCTGTATAAATAAAGTGTAAATGAAAAAAATCAGCTAATGTTAATGTATTTGTTCATAGGCAGTCAGTAACCTTACTGTCAGTTAATTGAATTATTTTTCATATCTCTGTGCATCTCCATAATAAAGGATGTGCATGCCTAGACCAGTTAAGTTAAAAAAAATAACAACTTTGAACAGAGCCTTAAATGTACAACTATAAAAAAAGTTAATAGAAAATGCATGTGTAAGAACAAAGAAAATGGTTTTGTTATGAAATTTCAATTCATGTTCTGAAAATTTGAAAGAAGAAAAAACTGTGGCTGAGTGAATTATTTCATGCAATGAATGTAATGTACTGTTTCTTGCTGTGTTCAATGACCTTTTAAATCTGCTGCTTTTTATATGTTAACCATTGAAAGAAATGGAATTGTTATACATGATTAAATACCATCTGGAATAAATACTTAGTGTTTGATAGTGAAGGCAAAGATTGAAAAAAGTGAAGAAAAGTGATTACAGTTTGTATTTTTCCAGCTATTCCATTCAATATTCCATTTAACACATTATACTAAATGTACATAATAACAAAGTAAAAAAAAAATCAAAGTGTAAAATGAAGTGATGCATGTTTATTTTTAACAGTGAAAATATGTAATAAAACACTATTTTTAATTAAGTATAAATTTATATAATGCATTAGTATCAAGCAAAAAAGCAACAAGCAAAAAAAAAAAAAACACCCATGTATAATCAAATATGTGAAATTTGACAAAATTAAAATAAAATATGCACAAATGTTTACTTGCCCATGTGTATAATTCTTTGGCCCAGATTAAAAAGAATATTGTTTAAGGATTCAAGGTTCTTTATTTATCATTTGCACCTCATGTGGTACATGTGTAACGAACCCCTTCAAATACTGGACCAAAATCACCACAAACACTT